TCAACCTTTTTCAGTAAAATCCGCACAGAAATGTGTTCTCTAATAGGCATGAAAGATGCTGAGCCAAAAAAACAAAATTCAACTAAAAATCCCCAAACCTACGGAAAAAATACCAGTTTCTTCACTTTTCATTATTTTGACAAGCGCCTGATTTCACCACGCTGCCTCACATATCTGATCATCAGTGGCTATTTCCCCAAAGCTCAATATAAGATGGTCAGTGCAGTCAAACCTGCTCTAATAACCACCAGTCCAAAACAACCACCTGTGCTAACAACCACTTCCCGTTTTACCCCTAGTGAGTATTTTTCTCTATTACAATAACACTGCAAGAAGACCACCTGTCTAAGATGACAACTTCTTTCTTCTGAACTATAGGGGGTTGTCTTGAACAGGCCCTATTGTACTTTCATCAAGCCACTACAGGCTGGGTACAAATAAATCAAGTGTCAATGACCAAATCACACAAAGTAAAAAAAAAAAAAAATGTTTAACGAGACAGAGACAGCAGACACATGGTTTGAGACTTAGCACAGAGATAACGATTTTCCTTACATACTGGAAACCGATATCTCAACTCTTGGAAAGTATACAAATCAGACAACTGCAGTACTTAAAAAAACAAAAGACAAAAACGGCTTTGAGCCTTTACCCAGTAGACCACCTAAACATGATGACTAACCTTACCTTTTTTTGTACATCGAACGCACGGCTCACCATTTATTGATGTAAATCTAGCAGCTGATGCACTGGCAGCACTGTGTAAGCAGACAAAACGCCATTTTTTTCTTCAGAGCAGTTTCGAGAAAAAAGAGGGGTTTTTTGTCAGAGTAATCATTTAAAAATAGAGCCATTCCGTAATTTGAATTCTAATTTATAAAAAAAACTAGCCACAGTTTCAGTTCCATTTTTTTCACAAAACTAGGAAGACTGATCAGGTTTTCGATTTAGCAAATAAAAAATGTTGGCCCCAATATGAAAAAAGGCATTTTGTCAACTTACGGCAGAGCACAGGTACCAGGTTCAACAGGCTCTCCTGTGTGTGTGTTTGTGTGTGTGTAAGTGTCTCTGTATGTGTATGTTTGTGTGTGAGTGTCTGTGTGTGTGTGTGAGTGTCTCTGTGTATGTTTGTGTGTGAGTGTGTGCGTGTGTTTGTGTGTGTGTGAGTGTCTCAGTGTAGTGTATGTTCGTGAGTGTGTCTGTACGCGTGAGTCATGTGCGTCAAAGGGTAAAAGAGAAACCAGTATCACAGTGTATTAGGAAATCTCAGGGGGGAAACATGTTTGAACATTGAATCAAGTATGAACATAGAACAGTTATTTGTGTTTGAGAGATGAGTAGATGAGCACGTCTTAACAGGCAACATTAATGATACAGGCTAGAGTGACATAAAAAGCTTTTCATAGCATGAATAAAAAAGCAAAATCTCCAAGAAGAGAATCTGTTTAAGTTGTTCTTTATCAGCGTTTGTAAAGATAATGCAACATCAAATATGGCTTAAGCTCAAGGCTGCAACAATGCTAAGGAATAAAAAAATAAAAAAATTACTGCTATATAAACTGTGAAGTCCCCCCCCCCCCCCCCCCTAAAAAAACCCAAACTCTCTTACAGTTATTAATCAAAATATATATAATTCTCTTTACAAATTGTTAAGCATTAACAACCTTCTTTATAATCAAAGAGCCTCAGTGCAGCTTCACAGAGAGGATTATGTGTTTTCTCTTACCGGTTTTTAAAGACAATTTACCCAAATGCATTAAGTCACTGAGACTGCATCGGCCAAAAAAAGCCACTGGCTTCCATGACACTAGACAACATGAAGGTCATATCATACCGGAGGTGTTTGCGATTTTTCCAAGATAAGAGAAAGGGGAGGGGGGTTCTTTTTCTAACAAAACTTAAGCCATTTCTAAGGTAAAGCTGTTTTATAGCCAGTACAGAGAGAGAAAGAAATCGCTTGCTCTAAATTTTCATTTGGGGCATTTACATAACTTTACTTGTTCTTAAACACTTCAAAATGCTACATCCTCAGATTTAAATGGGAATCGCAGTGCGTGATCTTAAGTATTTTTCGTATGTGGATGAGCAATGACATAAGTAGCACGGAAAAGTATAAAAGTTCATACTTATGCTAAGAAACATAGCAACAATACATCTGGATGTCACAACAATACAGAAAATATAACATTCTCTTGACAGGGGGTGAAAAAATTTCTTTGGCAATCAAAGCAACACTGACCATTTAGTACAAAAAAGGCTCGTTGAATGTAAGAGAGTGCAAATATATCTGGAGGTCAACAGGGTTACCCTGACCAAAGGTTCATACCACAAGTTCAAACAGATTTCAGTTTTAGTTTTAGTGAGAGTTTTACAGCACTTGCAACACAATAAGGTCATATAGTGCCAAAGATAAGAGGTGTCACAAGAGAGTAATAACAAACACAAAAAAGAAGGAAGGAGACATCAGGACAATAGATGTTTGATAAGAAAGAAGGAGCAAATGACACAACACCACAACACAGCACTCACCACCAACCACCCACTCAATCAGACTGAAGACATCTATACGACCTTTTCAAACGTTAGCACCACAAGATGATATTTGTCACTCACATAGTGTAACAGAGGGAACAGGAATGTCTAAATACTACTGAGAACAAAACAAAACAAAAAACAAAACACAATTCAGAGATTGTTCCCCTTGTGGAGAAGGAAGTTCTTGGAAGGACCTTGTGGTGCCCAGGGAAAACCAGACACGTCCTTATTTAGTACGTTACAAAATTGCTCTTTATTAAAGTCGTTTCACTTCCCAACATGACACGTCTAATTTCTTGCTGTCATCATAATACTTACAATCAGAAACGATGCATTATTAGGAGTCAGAAAATTGTGGAAACAAATTTTCAAACCTTACCAAAAATGGGAGGTGTATATTTAGATAGAAAAATACCAGACTAGCAAATATTCTGTAATTTTTTCAAGGCATGGCCATGTTTCGAAGGCAATAAACATTTAAGGGAAGTTTTCCAAAGAAAACACTTTTTTAAACAGCATGTTTAATAAATCTGAGCAGTATGAAGACAGTTTTCCCAAAGAACATGGGTGAATCTAATAAAAACGTTGAGGAATTCAAATACAGTTTCTAAAGCCAACATATTGTGGTTTTCAGGCTGTAAGCTGTATCTCTTTTCAAGGCTATGCATCTTCTATCTGGTTTTCCCAGGTGGCCAGACAGCGTGTTGGAAGTAACCCAACAACAGGACATTCAGGACTCATACTTTGACTTTATATAAGAGTGACCAGTTCAGTCACAATGTCTAACATATTGCAGTTTCTTATCTGTGACATGTAAGACATTAACATGAGTCTCAAAATTGTCTTCTCCTGCAGTTTAGAATTACCCAAATCTCTAAAAATGGCAAAACCCTAGTCCAAAAGAATCAGTCGACAACATGATAGATCCAACAACAAATAAACAAAGCACTAGCTATCCAAGTCCACAACAAGGTAACAAAATGTCTATCCTGAATCAACTTTTTAACACAAGGTACTTTCCTGACTTTCTAACAGCAGCAATGAAATCTGGTCTTTAAAAAAAAAAAAAGCTTTTTACAAAAGCAAGAGGCATCAGTATATGTATACAAAGCAACATACAGATAATTGTTTAGCTACAATCCTTTTTAAAAATAAAAAAAAAAGCACGACAAAAATTCTGGAAAAAGCCAGTCACTTCATTCCTTGTTACACATTCTGTACAAAACTGTCCAAATCTGTTATGTTATGAAGATTTAAATAAGTAGTTTCTATCAAATACACAAAGTTAACATTAAAAGTTTGTAGTTTGTAGACATATATCTCTCATTTCAAAATGTGAAAGAGAAAGTTTCATACTGAATGTTACATATTAACAGGAACACTTGATGGATTCACAAAAAACGAAGATGCACAAAAAATCGAAGCATGAAAATATAGATAAAGCATAATAATAATAATATATATCAAATTTCAAAGAGTGCATTGCGATCACAGAAAGACACATCATAAGGCAAGTATTGTAATCAAGCAAATTATCCCACACGGCTGACACAGACTTTCTTCATCAGACACGCAATTTCAAGCCCAGGAACGACCATTAACTGTTACGAAAATTCCGTCGCAGCGCACCACTGCCTGACAAACAGCTATGGCAGCTTCCGGACGACGAAACTCTGTCAAAGTAAAAAAGCGTAACTTGGGTGCTGTGACACAGACATTGAAATCATTGAAAAGAAACAGTTCCTATAGCCTCCCTAATGTCATATGACCAGGCATAAGGAATAGCGACTTAAGTATTATCTCATGGAGTCCACAATCCATCACTTTGCCAAAACTCTCTCAATCCCTAAAATCAATTGCCCTTTCTAATAAAAACAGAATAAAAAAACCCACATCCACATTTCTATATTCCTGTTTGAGTAAAACCAGAATGTAATTATTGAGAAGTTGTCCTGCGGAGGCTTGAAACAAGATGCTTTAAAAGTTCCTCTGTAACAGAAATAGACAATCTAGCACTCCTCATTGTTTCTCGCATCACTCGCACTGTGCACCATACATATAAACAATTGGGCGAGAGTGAACTTCTAATGCTTCCACCTCATAAAATGAGACTTTATGGAAATACCATATTTAGCTGCAAAACCTTAGTTCTATTCTACGTTTGAAGGCAACGGTCTATTTTTACTTGTGTTACATCATTCACAACTGACACAGAAGGTATCATAAGATCTAGATTTCACTACACATTACACCAATAAAATTCATACAAGCCATACAAACCTCCCTCACTATGTAAATAGCTGAACATCACTATATTGCATTCAAACTTTTGGATGTGGTGACTGGAAGCTGAATTTTAACTGAACTTTGATGTCGATCCTTCACTGTTAAACAATGTCCAGGAAAAAGATTAGTTTCTCATATAATATGAACAGGAATATACACGTGTACAACTAAAATTTGTGTTTTATTTTCTTTTTTCTTCAAAACAAGCTTGGTCTCATTTGCTATTTGCACGCTGTTTCAATTATACTTGAAGATTAATTATTTTAACAGACAGTCCAAGAGAGGTTTGGGAAAAAGCAAACGCATACATTTTCTAGTTTCAAATAGTCTCTAAGAGCAAGAAAATGAGTACAGAGGTCTTCTTTGTGCTTGTACAAACCACAGCATATGTTATAAAAGACAAGATGGTGAGGGGAACATCGTTTCAGAACTCCTGCCCACACAAGAATTGAAGAAACAAAGCAAACCAAATAGATCCGCCTTCCTTCTATTCTTCGAAGCAGAATCGGAATCAGTTATTTATCATTTGTTCGTCTTCACTAGCATATTGCTGGGGAAAAAAAATAGAAAAAAAACAAGCAAATTTGAGTAAACATGTTTCACGAGTGAATCTCAGAAAAACTCCCACTCACACTCATGGACACAGCAGTGCAACACCATTAGCTACTCAACAGTAAGAATAATGCCATCCTCAGCCCCGGGCATGTGCTTTTGTACGATCTGAGACAGTCAATTGCGTAAAATCTCACACCTCAGGACATTAGTCACACAAGCTTTCCCTTCCGCATAAAAAAAAAGTCATGGGCATGAAATTTCACGTCTGCTCAGATAAATCTGTCACATCAACTCATACAATCTGTCAGACGAACGTTCACTTCTGCTTGGCCTTGCGTGCGTGCTTGCCCCCTGCTCCTCCCCCACTTTCTCGTTCCTTCGATTCACGTGCCTGCTTGCGTCTCACAATCTGCTTTTGATGTTCCTTCTCCATGTCACGCTCGTTGATGTTCAACCGCAGCGTCTGTAAGTTAAATTATACAAGCATAGAAAGATAAATATTGTACCTCATACCCAAGAAGGTTCTAAAGAAAAGCTGTAGCGTAGAGGAAAGAGTTCAAGCCTTATTATGGAGAGAGATCTTTCTCATATCTTGGTCCATTTATGTGGAACAGATTACCCATGAAACTAAGACAAATAAGAACACTTGATAGCTTCAAAAGACATCTTAAACATTTTCTGTTCCTACAGGCCTATCCTTCATAAGCTTTTAACGTTATCTTTCATTACATTTGTTCTTTTCCTATGTCTGGATGAAAATAGTCTGTGTGTGTGTGTGTGTGTGTGTGTGTGTGTGTGTGTGTGTGTGTGTGTGTATGTGTGTGTGTGTGTGTGTGCATTAATGTATATTGCTTGAGAAGAAAGGAAGTAGTAAGAAAGGTTTTTGAAAAATGGGTATTCCAATGTAAAGCGCATTGAGCTACTTTTTTTGGAAATGCGCTCTATAAATGTTATATATTATTATTATTATTATTATTATTATTATTATGTTCATTGAAACTGTGAAACCCGATAAGGAGGGGAAAAAAAATTACTTTCACTTAACTCCATAAACATGAACATGAATATAAAAACGAGTCATACGAGTCTTCTTATAGTCGGTAAACAGGCGGGGAAAAAACTACCCATTGTCTATTCATCAACAAACATTTTTTTGGGATTTAATCTTAACTCGCGGATTGTCAGTGGTAGGTTGAAATCCCAAACTGAGAGATGAAAACAGATATTCATTACTTCTGTATGTATGATTAGAATTTGAAATACAAACAAAAATAAACTCAGAATTACTTGAGCCACTGGTAATGGAAATAAAGCAACGTCAAAGGCACATTTTTTTTCCCTCTTTCACAGAATAATAGGGATCAAAGTATTTGAAGTCTCTTTTAACTTATATGACCATCTGGTATGTCTTGATCAATATCAAAACCACTGGAAACGAATGGTTTTACATTTAGAGGCGTAAGTTCAACCTAAAATCACGAAATGCAGAGCCAGATCTAAAAAATATGTGTTATAACTCACATCAATTTTTTTTTTTAACCCACAAAAAGTTACACAAATGGATCAACGGATCTAACTACCGAATCAAAAAGACTTTGAATAGCATGCCATCCCTTTCTCCAACTGCGGAGACCAATCGCAGGTCAGAATAGAGTAAAACAGTGAAGAAATCCAAACCAACAAAGATGTGGGTTCAGCATCATTCTAAAAGAGTATAAGTATCTACTGAATACATACACAGTAAATAAAATTAATAGCTTTTTTTTTTTAAAGAACTATTGTTGTACAAGTTCTGCCTCATTCATCTTACCAATCATAATAACAAAAACAAAAGGCTTACCTCTCTTATAAGAAATTCTTCATCTTGAAGTTCTGGTGCCAGTTTCCTTAGCCGGAGTTTCTCCAGCGTGTCGAAGAATGTGGGGCACTGAGACATGTTCTCCTGGCCTTCAAGAGTGACCTTCACCAAAACCAGGCCAACACGGAACATAACCTTGACCCCTAAGGTAAAAAAAAAATGTTAATTGTCATAATAATTTTGCATCCATTTGAACAAAACAGCAAGCAAAAAAATGTTTAAATTGTTAACTTACAAAAGGTTTCAAACTTGAGTTACATCACATTTAATTTTGGTTTACTCCATAATTTTATAATACATTAATTGTAACTTCAACATTAGGCCCCAAATTCTTTCCACACACTTGGCTAAAACAGCATCAAACAACAGCATGCCGAGACCTTCATTAATAAGTCACTTTAACCACTACCTTTTAGGTTTTACGGCGCTCACAACTGCATAAGGTTATATGAGTGCCAAGGGGTGGATGTCAACAGAGAAGTCCTTACAGGGAATCAGGCTTACTCTGCTCAACAGCACAAAGTCTGCTTCAACTGTCAAGGCACCCCGGAAATAGTGGGTCACAAGAGTGTGACAAACATACAATAGAAGTAGAGGGAAAATGACGATAGTAAGGATTAGAAAAGAAAAAGCAGCAGTTCCCTGTTACAGTTCAGGCACAGTTATGAGCATAACATTTGTTTTAGTAAGAGTATTGCGGCACTAGCAACACGCTTAGGTCATCAGTGCTTCCACCAGCTGAAGCTGAAAAGTAAGGAAAATCATGCCGGGGGTCGGCCAAATCAGGGTCCAGGGACAGGGCCCAGTGGGGGTTCAGGGGGCGAAGCACCCGAAGAAATTGAAATTTAGTGCTTTTAGAGGGTTATAAATGGCATTTAGGAGCCTGTTGGAAGAGACTGCCTACAACCCGTAACATTTATTTGTTCGCCAACATTTCGTCTTGTTCGATTTTTTCACCTAGGCCCTAAATATCTTTCCATTGCTGGCAATGTTTAAAAGCAGGTTCCCCTTCCATTGCTACTATAATTCAATAAATTTGTGATTGCACGATTGATAGAAGGCCAACCAGGAAATACTGAATAGATATGCACCTTCAAAATACAGTTACCCAGCGTAACCATAATTTTCCACAATTTTCACTTCTGAATGTTGCATGTCACAACCTCGGAACACCACTTCGAATTATTTTTGATTTTAGTAGTTTAGCACAATTTATTCAATCGCGGCCCTTATCACGTTCCCGTGCCGTAGAATCTTCGCACTGATAATTTCCCTAGATCTAGACAAAAAATTTGCAAACAAGTTTCTTTCTGACAGTAATTTTCCGTCTAAGATCACAAGTCAATTTACTTGATCAACGCGCACGTTTTCCAGCCACGGCAACAGTCCGAAGATAAACAGACAGAATGAGTGAATGATAGAAAGGAGGAATGAAATTGGCACAAAAAAGTCCGGCAGATTTTGATCAATCTGCAAGTAAAAATGTACTACCGACCAACCCGCAATGTACGCATGGGGCATAACGGAATAATGGCCGATTGCAGGAAATGCGCAATCTGGCAGGTCTCTATAACATTAACTTATTGTGAGAGAATTACTGTAAATATCCGTAACTTATAAAAGACGATATGAAGGTGAGTACGGATCTTTTGCTAACGAATTTCAGTATATCTAGTCCTACACTGTCGCAGTTTTTTTACGGAGGGAGTTGATAATGATGGTTGAACAAGTACGGAACTGCCACAAAGTAGGGATTTCCGTAAAAATACGGAAGAGTGGAAGCACTAGTCATATGGACGATAGATGTTTAATAGGAAAGAAGGAGCAAACCACACCAGAGCACCCGCCAACCACCCACAGCATGATATTGATGAATCAGCCCATTTACAATTCTACTGTGCATAAAAACTAGTTAATGTACTCCCTTTGGGAATGGTCTAAAGACACTTCAGTCAGTAGCACCGCCCTGGGGGGGGTGCCTTTTAGTTTAGTGTAAATAAGAGTTTAATGACACTGGTTACACAAATAGGTCATAAAAGTGCCGAAGAGTTGAAGTGGTACAGAAGAGTAACATAAAAAAACAGAAGAAGGAGAGATAAGGACAATAGATGTTTAATAGGAAAGGAGCAAACCGCACCAGTGCACCCGGTAACCACCTACAACCATTATTTTCCATCTGCCTTAGTGCAGTATTTAAAAGAAAAATTATTGCTGTTAACTCATTCCTGACGGCCTATGAGAATACTCGTAACCGCGTAGCCACCGGACTACGAGAAAATCCGAATCTCGATAGTGTCTCTCCAAAACTTGCTCCAGTCCACTATATCCATGTTTTTGAAAACTATTATCAGAGTTACCATTCGAGCACTTCCTCCCGCTACATTCATAGCAGTTCGGAGAGAAATTTTGTTGATTTTGAGCGTGAAAGATGGTAAGTCAGCGTCTGTTTACAACCGACAAAGTTTGTCAGGAAATTTACATGGATTCAGAGAGTGAAGACGGCGATAGCAGTAATGAGGATGATAGCGAGTTTGATCTAGATCCAGATTATTGTTTGCCCTCGACAAGTGCTGGACCTAGTACTAGTAGTAGTAGTAGATCTAGTACTATTAGTAGAGCTGATATTGACAGTGAATCTTGGGACCAGCAAAGTGTACAAGAAGACAAACAGCCACCACCAGCAAGTCGTTGTGGTGTAAAAAGGGGTCCTGGAGGGGCTCAGAGACCTTAAGTCATTTCTAATGATGTGTGGCTTGTACCTAACCCTCCAGACGGACTCCTCATGAATATGCCACCATTTGAAAAGCAGAATTCTGTTGGTCTACTTGAAGAAATCCCCATCACAGATGAAGAAGATGTGAGGGGATACCTTGATATATTCGTCGGTGATGACATATTCCAGCTTTTCGCAACAGAAACGAACAGGTATGCTGCACAAGTGAAAGCTCACAAACCAGACTGCTACTACCTGAAGGACTGGAAAGACACAACAGTAGATGAGATGTGGATTATGGTGGCCCTCCTCATCGCCATGGGTCTTGTGTCAAAGCCCGAGATTACCTAGTACTGGACAAAACACCCTGTGTTGGATACTCCTTTCTTCCGCAAGGTAAGATTTTGAAAAACTTATAAAAGTCCTTTACAAAATCTTACTGTTTGCAAATTACCTCTTTTCATTCATAACTAGATCTAGATCTATAGTCTATAAATATAGGCTGGTCAACATACTGGTGGAATCAGTCTTATCACAACTTTTTGTGGGCTTTCTGGCCTTACTGATCTTTCACGCACAAGCGTGAATGTGATACTGGGGAAAATGGAGATATAGATCTAAGGTGTAGTCATGTTGGCTACTCAGGAGACTGGAGATTTATGCACTGCACTATGCTTGAAGCTTCTGAACTGTATTACACTGTTTGATTCCACGTTCCTATATGCAACTCAATTTTATCTTTCCAATATTACTTTATGTTTTGCTTCCTGTTTGATTCCCGGATGATGCAGAGAGACCGTTTTCTCGCATTGGTGGCCTTTTGGCACCTCGCCAACAATGAAGAGCAGCCACAACGAGACACCCCTGACTACGATAAGTTCTTCAAAATACGTCCCCTGTTTTCCCATCTGAATAACAAATTTAGCTCTGTATATTATCCAGAGAAGGAGCTCACTGTAGATGAATCCATGATGTCGTGGAAGGGACGCGTTTCCTTCAGGCAGTATATACCGTCAAAAGCGATCAAGTACGGTATGAAATTGTACTGCTGTTGTGAAGCCAGCAGTGGCTACATAGTGAACATGAAGTTCTACACCGGAGCTGGCATGACAGGACCTGAAACTGGCCATGGGGAGCAAGTCGTAAGGGACATGATGGTCGACTGCATGGGTAATGGCCACACCATCTACATGGACTCTTTTTTTTTCAACGGTCAATTTATATAAAGACCTTTTGTCAAAAATCACCACAGTTTGCGGCATGATCAATAGAAATAGAAAAGGCCTCCCAAAAGAAATTACATCAAAAGAGGTGAAACTGGCTAAAGGTGTGCATACTGTGCGCCAGAGTGATCGCCTCATCGCCCTCTGCTATAATGACAGAAAAGATGTTACGTTCCTTTCCACTGTCCACACAGGGGAAATACTAAATACTGGAAAGATCAACCGACGCACCACTGAGCCAGTGAAAAAAAAAAAACTGGTCCACAGGCACAACCAGCATATGAAAGGTGTTGACCAGTAGGACCAGAACCTGAGCTACTACAGCTTCAACAGGAAGACGGTCAAGTGGTGGAAGCGTGCTGCAATGCACCTCCAGCACATTGCGAAAGTGCAAGCTTTTATTCTCTACCGAAAGAGGTCATCAAAACCCATGCCTCAGTCTAAGTTCACACTCACCCAGATCGAGAGTTTAGCCATGGGCAACACCCGTGCCACCCCAAACACAGTGACTGCCACCCCAGCTGCTGCTCAGCGACAGAGTCACTCCTCAAGCTCCCACTTCCCTGAGAGCATATCGCCCACCGATAAGAAACTGAGGCCCACCAAAAATTGCGCTAGCTGCACCATTCCAAGCAGGGAGAAGAACAAATATGAAAGGAGGAAGGAGATGAGATTCCAGTGCAAGGAATGTAAGGTTCCACTTTGCATTGAGCTGTGCTTTCGGCTTTTCCATACCACAGTGGATTACAAGCGGGAAATCCGCAGATACTACCAAGCAGACTAAGATGTTCTCTGAAAAGTGTACATAGTGTAATATAGTGCTTCTTTTTCTTTCTTATTTTGTCTTCTTTTTAGGTGTAGATCTAAATTTCTGTAGTTATTTTCAGTTTTCAGTGCTGTGTATTTTTTTTTTTTCATTTCTCAATCTGTGGCGAAATATTCTGTGTAAGGTATTACATTCAGTGGGATTACATGACAAGTTTCACTGGATTAGCAGCTGTAGACAACACTCCTGCCTGCTGAAAGTCAAGTAAGTGATAGTATTATTATAATTATTCCAGTTTATGACCTTTAGAGACATTTTTTGGTGTGTTTTTTTTTTTTAATCAGTTATGCATGGCATGTTGGTATATGATAAAGCTTATTTTGTTGGTACTGTGTTTACAAAAACACATGCCAGCTGGAATTTTTAAAATTGAATCTCTACTTACAAAATTCTACCTGTTACTTGCAACGTCTTTAATCTGTGCCTCCTGAAAATTTGAGGGTGATTGCTTTGAAAACAAAAAAGTTATTGCAGTTTCAGTCAGGGTACCTAAATTTGTGGGTGTGGCTGGAGGCAGCCCAGGTGGGGGTGTCTGCTCAGGGAGGCAACTCAGGTAGAAATTGGTTAACCAAACAGCTTTTCAAACCCTGAACTTCAGCCCAATACCACGCTAGCACGATATCAAATCCATATCCGGTTTTTTATTTGTGCACAAATTTTTTTTTAAGTTCAAAACAAAACAAAAGAAAAAAGAAAAAGCCGGAAATGTTTGAAGTTTGAACGTCCACACTGAAGCAGCTGCGCCATACTTTTGTTTCACAACTTTAAGATATAAGCACATCCACACAGTAAGGTCATCAGAGTTCACTAAAACGTAAAACAACAGTCAGAAATAGATGGAACGCAAAGCAGCAAGATCTAAAAGCCATACCATCCAACCAACCCCAGTCGACGGTTCACCAAACCGACTTACCTTCGCACAAAAACTGATCCCATATCCTGAGGACGGTGGTCCAAGGAAGAGAGCGAGTGTACACACACATGAACCACTCTGTCATAAACATTATCGGCTCAATGTGTTGTTTTTTCTGGTGGACAAATACGAACAAACAAAATTATTTGTAATTGAAACAAAAGTGAAATTACATCACGGAAAATAAGTAGCATATATGTATCAAAACAGCATCCTTTTAATGACTCTGTGTTTCAAATTGAACCTCTACCTTTGAAAAAGGAAAGACTTACAATACAAGAGACTTTTCTCAGTTCTCAGTACAAAATGACAAGTCAGTTTCAAGTTTGATGCAAAAGTTTTCAGGTATTAACAAGCCAAGCCAGGCATAAGTTAAGGTAATGAGCACATCATTAAAAATTCCACGATTAAACTCTTTATACAAAATAAAATGAAAATGCATTACCATGTGTTTATATACAACAGGTGATGTTCTTTTCAGTAATCCAAACAAAACATCCCCATCCAACTGGATAGCTTCCTGTAACAAGAAAGTGAACAACACAAAAATGAGACACTCAAGTAGACAGATATAATTTTTTTAATGTTTTCATACTGGATTCATGCTCCACAAGACACAAACCAGTTATTCCTAATGAAGAACGTTTAGATAGAATAAATAAACAACGACGAACGAAAGAAGAAATGTTTTAGTTTTTGTTTTAGTAAGGTTTTACGGCACTTGCAACTGCATAAGGTCATATGAGCACCAAGGGGTTGATGTCAACAGAGAAGTCCTTACAGGGAATCAGGCTTACTCTGCTCACCTCTCTAGCTTCAGCAGCACAAAGTCTGCTTCGATTATCAAGGCACCCCAAAATAGCAGGTCACAAGAGAGTGACAAACATACAAAAGAAGTAGAGGAAAATGACAATAGTAAGGATCTGGAAAGAAAAAGCAGCAGTTCCCTGTTGTAGATCAGGCACAGTTATGAGCGTGACATGAGTCAGCCCATTTACAATTCTACTATGCTTGAACAAGAAATGTCCCCCCTTTGGGAAAGGCCTAAAGACACTTCAGTCTGTGGCACTGCCCCGGGGGGTAACAAACCAGTTATTCCTAATGAACACCGTTTAACGTTTAGGTACAATAAATAAGCAACGACGAACAAAAAAAAAAAGAAGAAATGTTTTAGTTTTTGTTTTAGTAAGGTTTTACGGCACTTGTAACTGCATAAGGTCATAAGAGCACCAAGGGGTGGATGTCAACAGAGAAGTCCTTACAGGGAATCAGGCTTACTCTGCTCACCTCTCTAGCTTCAACAGCACAAAGTCTGCTTCAACTATCAAGGCACCCCGGAAAAAGCAGGTCACGAGAGGGTGACAAACATACAAAAGAAATAGAGGGAAAATGACAATAGTTATTAGTAGAGGTTTGGAAAGAAAAAGCAGCAGTTCTCTGTTGCAGCTCAGGCACAGTTATGAGCATGACATTGATGAATCAGCCCATTTACAATTCTACTGTGCATAAAAACATGTTAATGTCCGCCTTTGGGAATGACCTAAAGACACTTCAGTCAGTAGCACCGCCCCGGGAGGTAAGAACAAATGTAGACAAAGGTGACATGGCCAAATAAATATCACAATAATTGTACATTTGAGCATAGACGTTCAGGTACATTGTTCCCGTATTAAAGGGGTTATACCCCCTGCTGGTGTGCATTAAGCCTGTCCATCATACTTTCACTTTCAGAAGGAGCATGGCAGAGAACGTACAGGCCTCCATCAGTAACTGATTGCTGATTTCACATCACAATGCCACATCTAAGGGTGCAAGAGTCATCAGTGACTAGATAGACTGAAGAGAGGAAGGCTTATTGCTGATTTCACTTCACAATGCCACATCAACAGGCACAAGCGTCAGTGACTAGATACATGGAAAAGAGGAAGACTTATTGCTGATTTCACACAACAATGCCACATGGAATGCTGCAAGCATCATCAGTGACTAGAAAGATGAAAAAAACGGAAGGCTGATTGTTGATTTCACATCACATGGAAGGACACAAGCACCATCAGTGACTGGCTAGATGAAAAAGAGGAAGAAGTAAATCAAGTAAACCACTTTGCGTGCGTGCACTTACCAAACCGGGACTGTAGTATCCGGTGAGATACTTGTCGCAGATGGCCACCAGGCACCAGAAGGCTTGCTCAGCAGGCATGTGCATCAAGAGGAGCGAGGCGATGGGAGCCTGGGCTTGGCAGTAGCCCTCCACGGGCCGGTGGATCGTGTACGCCTTCAGCACTTCAAACAGAGCTTCTTGTCTGTGACAAATTACGTTTCAAACAAAAAAGTTTTACTTTTTTCTTTTAAAAAGCATTTTATGGCACTTGCAATACAATTAGGTCATATAAGTGCCGAAGATTAAAAGTGTTACAAAAGAGTAATAATCACAAAAAAAAGAGAGACGTAAGGACGATAGACGTTCGATAGGAAAGAAGGAGCAAGCCACACCAGACCACCCGCCAACCACCCATGTTTCACTTTTGAACCAGAAATCACTTTAAGAGACTTTTGTCAGTCTTTAACATAACATTATACACTTATTCGGAGTATCAATATTCTGTGCAAGATAGTACAAAATTGTAACGGCAGCGACAGATCCATAACACGACAAAGAAACAGCTGGAGTTCTGAGCCCAACTTGTACACCCTTACCAACCACTTGCGATACTTTAACCATATCATAGTGTGTATTTAACGTGAAGGGAATCGTGACAAAAAATGCAAAAATACCTACACATTTTATTTCTGATGAAAAACAATGGCACAACACAAAGTGACAGGGAGTGGAAATAAGAATTTCACTACTCAAAGCTATTCACATTTTCTGAGGGTAAATCAGTGAAATACCCATTATTAGGTCACTCCTGAGTTACCGATGAAGAACTAAAAAAACACAAAGTCTTCAAAGGATGCAGTTCATGTAATTAAGTTTCCACATCATTTCAGGGTTCCTTAAACATTGTACACCTCCTCATCTAATTCGTTACCCCAAATCCACAGGACAAAAGCAACAATTAGATCACACATTCCATGCATACAAAGTGGAAAATCTTACCCAACACCTCCTTTGGAAAGGAACATTTCGTGTAAGGGAAACTGTCGATCCAAGTCTTTATGGATGTCGTCTATACATTTAGGATCTCCTGGCATTTTCAAATATTCCTGCAAATCAAATTAAAAGAACAGTTTACATACAATATGATGGTTTATAAACACAGAATTGCAATCACAGTGAGCTGGTGAAAACCAGACGACAGTTAACAGAAAAAAGCAAAAAAGAAAAGAATAGAAGTAGAACCTGCTCTGTAAGCTGCACCAAACTTTAGCAGTTTCAAAGTAAGCAGCCACCAAAACCAGTTTGTAAAAAGAGCATAATATGTTGGTTAAAACTATTGTGAAAGAGGAGGCAAAATGTGAGAGATTTCTCATAAAAATAGATTTCTCTGCCTGTCTGGGTCCACCTGACAGCAATAATAATATTACGAGGACTTGCAATATATACATGTAGAATTGTTGTCTAACTTTCTCAACCATATTCTATTCATAATTTTTTTTAAACAAATAATTCTCCCACATTACATCTATTCACACTTGTATCATTGTTTGGTGCTGAAGGATCTCAATTAAAAGGACAAAAAAAAATAGAAGAAAATAGATATAAAAAGAAAAATGGAAAAAGGTTTGGTTTTTTTCGTTTTTTGTTTTAGAAAGAGTTTTACGGCACTTGCAACACAATAAGGTCATATAAGTGCCGAAGATTAAAGGTGTTACAAGAGAGTAACAAACACAAAAAAGAAGGAGGAGAGATAAGGACGATAGAAGTTTCATAAGAAAGAAGGATCAAACCACACCAGAGCACCTGCCAACCACCTACTAAAAAAGGTTTCGTTTCATGTTGAATCAGTACAACATCAGCCATAATTCAACGGCCAGACAGGGAGACAAAAGTTTTGCACTGAAGCCTATAAAAACAAAGTTGCTAGGGCTGGAGACATTAGGGGGGTCATCAGGAGAAATACACAGGAGTTGCAGCCATTCCGACTTACTTCAAAGACTCCCCTGTGCTGCTCCAGGGTGAAATGGCTGCCACACAAGTGCTGCCACGCACGTGCCCTCAGAGACGGAGGAATGCCTTTTCTGCACCTGTCCTTCACCTGATCAATAGCATAAAAACATTCACAGTCTTGAAAATTGTACCAAAGGACAAATTAATGTACAATCCTCATCGTCTCCCTGTGTCAAGGAGAGAAAGAGAGAAGATATCTACAAAGTAATGGTGATGTCAGAGGCTAAAAATAAGCACTAATCAAGTCTGTACAACAGTCAACCCTGTTCTAACAGCCACCTGTCTAAAACAATCACCTGTACAAACAACCACTACCAAGTTCACCCATCACATCTTTTGTATAAGGATAACACAATCCAGGATATCCAGCTGTCTACGATAACCACTTTTCTCCTGACAATAAGAGGTTGCCTTCGACAATTTTGACCGTATTCAGTTTCTAGTCTCAAGCCATATGGAAAAAATGTAGTTTCACACAAAGTATTTTGATTCATGATCAACGCTGAAAATGATTATCAAAAGTCTAATATTTCAGTAGCAAAGTCACGCTCACCTTTTTGAACTTCTTTGACATCCACTTATCCCAGTTGATGAACATGTCCAGCCATTTTGTCTCCCTCTTTCTTACGGTCTCCTGGGGTACGCGTCTCTCCCTGTTCAATGTGAAACAAATGTCATGTGAAGAATAAACAAAATAATTTTAAGTCAAATTATAAGGATGTATTTTTTTTTAAAACACAGACCTCGTGACTACAGTCACGATTACCATTCGAAGAGTTAACTATCGCAGTGTTCTACTCCCTAAAACACACCTTATTTGACAGAATTTTTTTTTAACTTTATTTTTATCTTATAGAGATAAAAATTAGTTGGGTTTTTTTTTAATCTGTCAAATGAGGTGTCAATTACTTGCAATCCTTTTGTCATAATACTATCTATTTATATTAGGCTGACAAGAATCTATTCATAAAACCGCAACACCAATGAGAACTTACGCCTCTGGATCTGTGTACTGGTTCCCTCCGAGAAAACCGTATCTGTCCGTTGAGGCAGGTGTGATGTTGCTCTGTACAGAGTCTCCATTGGCAACCGTGTGAGCCTTGGGTGATCCTCCGTTGGAGTTTACCTCTGTTGGGGACTCAAAGTCCTCTGGTATGTGTGAGAAGTCTGCCATTGCCATTGACATGACACTGGTCCATGTGAGGTTGGAACCACCACTACACAGCTAGGAATAATCCAACATCCAACAGTCCCTTCATGTTGCTGGGGAAATGTAAAGACTGAGATGAAACAAAACTTGTAAATGTAAGGATGGAGTAGCTATCATCAACAGAACAGAGATTATAACAAGTCTATAGAGCGGACTCATTATTCATAAGCTTAGTCAACAATGCCCACGGGCTACCCATGAAACACAGGATTCTTCGACCTCTGAGATCATGACATGACTCTTGAATTTTATGCTTCTTTCTCCTAATATCTGAGGGCTGTTGGTCAGGTAGGGTAGTTGTACTAGCTTCCTTGAGTGCTCTAATTGTGAATTATTACATCTTGTTTTATTCCATACTAGTCTGTTTAAAACATGTATGCATGTCCATCTGATTATTCCCATTTTCCCATCCATGGTTCATGAACAGTCACTTAAAAATAAACAGTACCATAAAAAATGTACTTTAACTGTGGCCTATTATAATTAAGTCTATTGTACTGTACTGTGATTATTGCCACAACTTTAATCAGCTTGATCTACGTTTTCTCCAAATATATACTGTACATTGTCCTTGTAGTTGAAAGAAAAAGACAATGGGAAATGTGATGTAACCGAGTAAGACAGAAAGAGGGAAAGGGGGGGG